AAAAGGGTTCAAAATCCTTGCCTGGAAATTATAGACCTGTGAGCTTGACGTCTGTGACTGGGAAAATATTTGAAGGGCTATTAAGGGATAATATTCAGGAATTCACTGGGAAGAACTTTGTTATTAGCAATAATCAACATGGTTTTATGAAACATAGGTCATGTCAAACTAACCTAATCGCATTCTACGAAGAAGTAAGTAGAAGTATAGATCAGGGTGTGGCAGTGGATGTGATCTACTTGGATTTTGCCAAGACATTTGATACGGTTCCTCACAATTGGTTAGTCTTCAAACTAAAAGAAATTGGTCTAGTTGAATATTTTTGTTCTTGGGTAGAACATTGGCTTAAGGATAGAGTACGAGTTGTCATTAATGGTAAATTTTCAGGCTGGACAAAAGCGGTAAGTGGTGTACCTTACGGTTCTGTTTTGGGGCCGCTTCTATTTAACATATTTATAAATGATAATTGAAAGCCATGTTTCAGTGTTTACAGATGACACAAAACTTTGCAAAGTAATAAAATGTGAGCAGGATATTGCTTTGCTGCAGAGGGATTTGGATAGATTGGGGGACTGGGCACTAAAAGGGCAGATTAAATTTAATGCAGAGAAATGCAAAGTTATGCACTTTGGGGGTCAAGAAATGGTAGTGAATTAGGGATAACCACACATGAGAAGGATTTGGGAATTGTTATAGACAACAAATTAGGCAGTAATATGCAATGTCAATCTGCAGTTGTTAAGGCCAGTAAGGTTTTGTCATGTATAAATAGGGGCATAAATTCTCAGGATGAAAATATAATTTTGCCTCTTTATAAATCACTGGTAAGACCACACCTTTGCTGTGCAAATTTTGGGCACCTGTTCTAAAGAAGGATATCATGGCACTAGAAAAAGTGCAGAGACGAGCTACAAAATTAATAAAAGGAATGGAGCATTTTAGTTAAGAAGAAAGGTTAAAAAATGTAAATCTCTTTAGTTTGGAAAAATGGCGCCTCAGATTGGATATGATAATATTATACAAATAAATTTAGGGCCAGTACAAACCATTATCTGGAAATCTATTCATAAACAGGGCTATACATAGGATACGAGGTCATGCATTTAGGCTGGAAGAAAGGTGATTTCATCTAAGGCGAAGAAAAGGTTTTTTTTACAGTAAGAGCAATAAGGATATGGAATTCTCTGCCTGAAGAGGTGGTTATATCAGAGTCCATACAGATGTTTAAACAGCAATTGGATAAATACTTGCAAAAACATAACTTACAGTGATATAATTTCTAATTAGTGGGATAATAACTGCTTGTTCCAAGGAGACATCTGACTGCTATTTTGGGGTCAAAAAGGATTTTTTTCTAGTTTGTTGCAAAATTGGAAGCACTTCAGACTGGGTTTTTTTTGCCTTCTTTTGGATCAACAGCAAAAAAATATATGTGAGGAATGCTGAGCTTAATTGACACAAGTCTCTTTTCAGCTATTTAACCACATCAATGAATATTAATGTTTTTGCAAGTATGCATCTAGTTGCTGTTTAAATATCTGTACAGACTCTGAAAAAAAACACTTCATCAGACAGAGAATTCCACATGCTTTTTGTTCTTATCCTTTTTTGTTCTGAAACACGACTTTAAATGTTTTTTCAAGATCATTTATTTATTTAGTTATTTATTTTTTGACACTTTTTTGGAACGCTTCAGACTGGGTTTTTTGCCTTCTTTTGGATCAAGAGCAAAAACATATGTGAGGAATGCTGAACTTAATTGACACAAGGCTCTTTTCAGCTATTTAACTACATCAATGAATATTAATGTTTTTTCAAGTATGCATCTAGTTGCTGTTTAAATATCTGTACAGACTCTGATAAAACCACTTCATCAGACAGAGAATTCCACATCCTTTTGTTCTTATAAAACCTTTCCTTTGCCTTAGACTAAATCTTCTTTCTTCCAGTCTAAACACATGACCTAATTTTCTATGTATAATCCTGTTTTTGAGTAGCTTTCCACACAATGGTTTGTATTGGCCCCAGATATATTTGTATAATAGTATCATGTTTCCTAAACTAAAGAGGTTTAAATCTGTTAACCTTTCTTCATAGCTAAAATGTTCCATTCCTTGAATTAATTGTGTATCCCTCCTCTGCACTTTTCCTAGTGCCTAGGTGCACTAAAAGTGCACCACGGTATATTGAAGATTGGGTCTTACCAGTGATTTATAAAGAGGCAAAATGATATTCTCATCCCGAGAATCAATGCCCTTGTTTATGCATGACAATACCTTACTGGCCTTAGCAACTGCTGAATGACATTGCACATCGTTGCCTAGTCTGTTGTCTATAACAACTCCCAAATCCTTCTCATGTGTTGTTATCCCTATTTCACTACCATTTAGGGTATAAGTTGCTTGTGCATTCTTTGCATTTTTCTACATTCAATTTAATCTGCCATTTGAGTGCCTAGTCCCCCAGTCTGTAAATCCCTCTGCAGCAAATTAATATCTTGCTCACATTGTACTACTTTACACAGTTTTGGGTCATCTGTAAACACTGAAATATGACTTTAAATGCTTTTTTTCAAGATTATTTATTTATTTATTTATTGACACTTTTTAAGTAATACATTGCAGTGTTTTTCATTGGTTACATAACATTTTAGCTTCAACAAAACTAGGGATAAGTAGGTGGGTTAAAACATTTAGCGGTCACACATGCTTGACAGTTAACATGACCTGTTTCATGGTCCTCGCATCTCCCGCTCTCCACCTTTAATTTTGTGAGGCCCCTCTGGATATATAAACCATCTATGGGTGCCATGTCAAGGTGCATTTGTCCGAGCAGGGATGCCGTCAGCATTTCCATGCTGTATATGTCTTCAACCTTGTCCACCCATTGCTGGAAGGTGGCCACACCCATTAGTTTCCAGTGGGATGAGGGGCTTAGCCGCTGAGAGTAAGTGTATAGTGAGGGATTTTTTGTAAGTCTTCAGTGGGGTGGGTGTGTGTGGGTGTGTAAGGAGCATCGTCAGTGGTAGTAGCGGCAAGTCTGTGTCTGTAATCTCCCTAATCTTCGCATTTATCATCTGCCAGTATGGGCCTATGTGGAGGCACATCCACCAAATATGCAGGCTTGCACCTACGTCAGCGCTGCATCTCCAACATTCATCGGGTATTGAGTCATGTAGGTGTCTGAGAATGTCTAGGGTCCTGTATCAGTGTGTCAACAATTTGTAGCTCATTTCTTGGTATTTCGAGCTTATGGAGCATTTGTGCGTCAGGAGGAATATTTTGTCCCACCCCTCTCTTGGTCTGTGAGCTCGACCCCTGTCTCCCTTTCCCATTTCTCTGTGAAACCAAGTGGGCGTCTGTCTCCGCTAGTTAAGAGGGCGATGTATAGGGTCGATACTCCTTGTGTGACATGTTGTCTAGATGTGCATAGGTTTTAGAAGAATGTCAGTGTACTGTGGAGATTGTCACTGCTTCAAATGGATGTGTAGTATGTCTTAACCTGGTGGTAGTGGAATTCTTCGAGTTGTGTTGGTCTACAGTCTGTGAGAAGGTCTGCCAAAGGCTTGAGATTGTTTGCGGTGCTCCACTGATGCATATAAACCCAGTCCCTCGCCTGAAAATTTTTCTGGGTGGTGGGGTGGAGCTCCCTGCCAGTTCAGGATTGTTTGTGATGGGGGTGAGCAGGTTTGGTGATGTGGTAAGCTGCCGGGAGTAACGTATGTTGCACAAGACTCCGAGGGTTACATCAATCAATCATGACTGAACGTGTTTCGGAATACTAGGCTCCGCTGAGCCACAGCATGGAGGAGATCTTATCTTGTGACTGGTGGACTTCCATGTTCACCCATCTTTTAGAGCTCGGGCAGGCATGCCAGTCTACAAGTCTGTGCAGGTGCGTCGCCTGGAAGTATGTAATTATGGACAGCAGTCCTGCGCCCCCCGGAAAACTTTGATTGCTCCAGTACAGTTCTGCAGATACGAGTAGGCCGTTGGTTCCAGACAAACCAGCAAATGTCTGTCATCATGGTGCAGAAGAATGCCTGCAGGATCACCGCGGGCGGTGTCTGGAACAGATACAGAAGGCGCAGTAAGAAATTCATCTTTACCGCGTTGATGCGGCCAAACCACTGCTGAAGATGTTTCTGTAGTGTTGTGAGAAGAGGGAGGAAGTTCAGTTGGTAAATTTGTGTAAGGCAGCTCAGCAGCCAGGTTCCTAGGTATGATAATTTAGTAGCGCACCACGTAAAGTTAAATTGCGTGTTGAGATGGGTGGCCAGTTCTTCGTCCTGCTTTACCAGCATGGCTTTGGACTTATCTAGATTGAGTTTTAGGTTGGACACCTGATTAGATTGTCGGCATATTGTCGGCATATGCCGCTACCTGGCGTTCCTAGTTGCCTATGTGAAACAAGTGATTCCCCCATCCCGTTTGACCACCTCGAGGGATGGTTCGAGAGAGGGCAAACAGGAGGGAGAACAGGGGGCATCACGGATGGGGAATGGCTTCGTCAGTGCGCCATTGATGCGTATGCTTGCCGTTGGTGTAGTGTATAATGCTGATACTCAGGTTTGCAAATATGGGCCGATTTCCATGCAACGCAGCATTTCTGCCAAATAAGTCCAGTTCAATCGGTTGAACGCTTTTTCGGCATCCGTGGAAAGGAGCACAACCTCTCTTTCAGTGGCCTTGGCAGCTTGAATGACATGATATTGTCCCTCGCTTCCTGTCCGGAGATAAATCTGACTTGGTCAGGGTGTATGAGCTCCGATAGGGCCTGGGTGAGTCGTAGAGCCATGGTCTTGGTGAATAGTTTAAGGTCCGCATTCAACTGCAAAATCGGGTGATAGCTGGAGCAATTGGCCGGGTCATTACCTTCTTTGGGGATAACCGTAACGACATCGGCAAGGGAGCCCACTGCATATGGTCTGCCTGTTTTTATTGAGTTCAGTCCAGTCAAGAGTCTTGGCAGTAGTATGTCCCTGAAGGTGCGTATGTAGGTCAGGGGAAGGTCCAGGGGCCTGATGCGGTTTCGATAGTTTCATGGCCCCTGGCAAGTTCCTCTAATGTCAGGGGCCATTCCAAGTCTGCAGCGAGGTCTGGTGAGAGTTTCCGGGTGACATGTTTTCGAGATAGTCCGTTACACATTGTCTGTGTCGTTGTGCGGCTTCGCCCTGTCTGGCTTGTGTCTTGTGTCTTGTGATTGTAGAGGTAGCCCTGGAATGTATACAGCATGCCTTCCGGTAGCCTGGCTTTGCCTTGCCCCTGGATGTTGAACTTGTGGATGGGTTTCCTCCTCTTTTCCTTAAGCATCCTTGCCGGCAATCACCCACTTTTGTTGGAATGCTCATGAAAAAATCTGGCTGATTTTCGGATGGTGTGTAGTAGCCCCTGGGAAAGATGGTCCTTGAGCTCCCTGCAGGCCTCAGTGAGTTGTAGAAACGCGCCGTCATCTAGTGTTTGTTTGTGTGTGTTCCAGGTCCACTATTTGGTTCGTCAAGGTGGTTATGTGTTGTGCTCATTCCCTTTTACGTTGGGTGCATACCGTAATGTAGTGTCTTCGGATGACACATTTGTGTGCTTCCCATAGTGTCAGTGGAATCACTGGTATCGAAATATTGGGTGAGGTTTTGGATTGCGGTGGTAGTGGCCTCCAAGTCATTTAATATACATTGGTTGAGCTTCCAGTGGTGTTCTTTGGGTTTGAACAATGGGGAGCTAGTGCGCGGTCAGAGTGACCTATGACCACTATGTCTGAGTCATGGAGTAGTGTTAAGTATTCCTGCGACATAAATATTTAGTCTATGTGGCTATACTGTTTGTGTACGGCTGAGTAATAGGGGAAGTCCCTTTCGTCTGGGTGCGCCGCTCTCCAGCAATCCAGTAGCCCTAGCCTACCTAAGGATTGGAGGGCAGTTTGAAGACAATGTGAAGGTACCATACTTGTTCCCCAAAAGGAATCTTGGTGCGGGTCTAGTGGCAAGTTCAGGTCATCTTCCATCAGTAGAAGGCCCTCCCTGAATTTTTCCAGTCTGGCCAGTGTTTTATCTAGGAAGACATGTTGCTTTCTATTGGGGCAGTATATGCATGCAAAGGTGTAGGCGTGATCAGCAATAGTGCCCTTGAGGAAGATGTATCTCCCGCCGGGGTCGGCTCGTATTTCAGAGCAGAGAAATGGGATGGATTGGGCGAAGAGTATGGCTACTCCTGCCCTCTTAGTGTCCGGGTGGTTGGCATAAAATCCTAGTGGGAAGTGGTTATTCTCAAGCTTCAGTGTCTCTTGGCCTTTGAAATGCGTCCGCCGAGATAGAGGGGTATGAGGGAAAAAACTCACATTGACCAGAGCCCTATCACCCCTGGCTCTGGGTTTGTAATGCTCCACTTGAGAGGGAAAATTCCCACACTGATAGGCTTCCAAATGGTGTGTTCACTTGAAGACTGGTTAAGCTGTGCAATATAGGACAGAGAGAGGCAGGACCTCCAATTGAATAGTATCAAATACACTTTATTAAAAGACAACAGTTAAAAAGTCTTACTTTGCGAGTGGTGGGTTATGCTGACATAGCTACCCACATAAAAGCATATAAACGGCTGATAGAAAGTCACTTCCTGGTTTCGTCCGTCCCGATCACATGATCACTTCTGGGTCCGCCTCTTTCGTGACGTGTACGTGATGCATTTCGCCCGCCTCCACAGGCTTCCTCTGATGACGTCATGGGTATCCAGCCCTTCCTTTTAAATGTCATACTCCTCCCCTTCTATTATTCCATTGGTCCAGGGGCGTGGTTTCCTTAGAGAGGGCTAGTTTTATCTTTCCCTTATGAGAATCTGAATCCTATTCCCCTCCTACTTTAATGGGTTTCAAGGTTGAGCTTGAGAAACTCTAGTCTTCTTTCAACCTAGACTACTATGTAACTATGTATCTATGTCTCTGATAATATTCTAACCATTGAGATTCTGCCATTAGGGTTGCGGCCAACTTTTTTCTCCACAATCTTGTGTAAGATGATAGATCTTCTTTAGCTTGCTTGGGTGATTTGCTGTTTTAGTTGAAAAGGAGAATAAATGAACTACTTTATCTCTCTGAGTAGATTCCGGAATGTTTTGAAGTTTTCTCACTCGACATATATTTTCAAACATCATCTCCTGATTTTCCAGGTGGATGTCTAGCACAGTAAAAAATTCAGACAGAAATTTTAAAATTTTGTCATAGGTGATGGTTTCTGGAATATTTTTTTTTATTCTAATATTCTTCATTGTGTGTCTATCTTCCATTAGATTTATTTTCTGTTCCAAGTATTTCATTTCCATTTTCATTTTTTCTTGCGCTGCTGTAACCATCTTGTACTGGAGTTGCATTTGTTCATATTTTCTTACTCTCTTTCCTTTCTGGTTTGGGCGCTCTCCTGCAATTCCAAATTTAATTCCGCTGTTACTTTCTTCTTCCACATCTTCTGAATAATATAGCTGTTTCCAGTTATTATATAGATTTTACTGTTTTATTACTTATTTATCAGCGTTTCGCTTGTCACAATTTACAGATTGCTTGGGATTGCCTAAAAAATCATATCATAGAAAGATTCTATCTCAGCTTTCCTGTTGTGGCAGTATGAGATTTTAACTTGTATAGTCAAAAGGCAAGTCAGCACACTCGAACTGCAAAAATGAATATCTGTTTGAGCTGCTAAGACAGCCATGTGATGGAAAATCAGACACAAAGCTAGCACAGAAAGGACAGAGAGGCAGATCTTGAACTTAAACTTGGATAGGCACTGTAGAATCTGTGATGGATTCTAAAAAGTTAACACATATATCTGCACAAATACAGATACACAAAATAAGTATACAGTGACAGAGAATCTACACAGTCTGACAAATTAATGAAATGTCCATTTTCTCCTGTATCTGTTACCTGCTTACTGAGTGGGGTTCCTTTTTTTAAATAGCCCATTGGGACATAGTGGGGTTGAAACACAAATTAGTCCTTGAAATTGGACATAATTACCCCAGACTATTCAAGGGGAGCACTTTCCCTGGTGTTCACCCCTCTGGGTCTGACACCGGCAGGACAGCAGCCAGTGTGTTGCCTGGTGATTATGAAGAATTTTGGCAAATTCAGCCTTGCAGATGGCATGGGTGAAGTTGTACTTAACATCAGGACCTTCCCTGTGTAATCTAAATATGCAATGTCACATAATATATTTATAATCTCTATTTTACATTTCTGCATGAATATCTAGCTGTGTTTTAAATTAAACAAAAATGTTCTGTTTGGGAAAAAAGTTTGACTTTGATTTAAAAAAAATGTGATTAGACTACACTGGTTAAACACTTTAGCAATTATTTTTTAAAAATTGCTAGTTGTACTGAATGTTGGCATGTTTTCATAATGTGTTTCTCCCTCTAGCTTAAAACACATATATTAAGTGAATGTGCTGCATTTTGTCCACCTCCCATACTTATACAATGACTCAAATTTCCACTGCAATGTTACAATATTGGAAAATATAGTGTTTCCTTCAGGGCAATTTGATTACAAGACAAATCGAGCATGAAAAAGACTGTTCCACTCTGATAAAATTCTTGTTAAGCTGTTGGGCCATTTATATCACAACCCATTATCTGTCAGCACTTGAACTTTTTCTATTTCCTTGTCTTGTAGTGGTCCTTAATAACTGAAGTTTCAAGGCTGGCAGTAAGACTTGATGTGTCTCGCTCTGTAGAAGTATAAAACAATCATTGATCACTTAGGTACTGTTAAAGACACCAGTGTCTCTTTTATGAAAAACACGTTGTGCTCAAATGAATATGTTATACAAAATAATTGTCTTCAGATTTCTGTTAAAAAAAACAAAAACATTTGTTAGCAACTATTTAAGCAATCTAAGTTTGATATGATTTGAGTCATTTGAAAAAATATGAGCTGAAGATTAAATGTAAATTTGTCTAATTGTATATAGATATTGATTCAAAATGAAGGTTTTCAGTGAATTATATTTAACAATAAATACCACTTTCACTATACATTCAGAACATATGCAGATTATAGATATATAAATATTTTGGTAGGAAAAACCAAATAATCCATTTTGGAGAGGATGGTTGGAAATATTGGATTAACTAAGAAAACAAAATACAAAAAAAAAAGGTTGTTTGAACATGCCATCAATTAATCAAATCACTATTCAATAAGTTCTACCAAAAAAAAACAAAAAACAACACTTTACAGTTGTCACCAATTTGTAGTTAAAGATAATTTTTGCATTTGGAAATCAACATGTTTTCATTTCACTATATATGTAATGTGTTATTATTGTTAAACCCAACAGACATATATACTTTATTAGTGAGTTATTTTGGGGGGGAGGGAGGGAAAGTAACATATTTCAAGATGCATACAGTAAAATAGCAATGTTGTATATACATGACTTTTCTAGAATACCCAAGCATCTTAAATTACAAAAGTAATTTTTTGTTTCTACGTTCTTTCATATACCATTATACCATTCCTGGAAAATTGGTGAAAAAGTATAGGTTAAATATTTCCAACACATAGTACAAAAATAATTTTCAACTGATATGTTTATGGGAGCTTGTGAATTTGCTGGATTTCTCTAAATATAAAATCTATTTTAGCTATATGTGAGCATTATGCATAATAGAAACAGAATAAAAAAATGGG